CGCTGTCTCTGTGTGTGTCTGTCAAATAAATAAATAAAAGAAAAAAAAAAAAAAAAGAAACCACAGAGGCCGTGGGGCACCTGGGTGGCTCGGTTGGTTAAGCGTCTGCCTTCGGCTCAGGTCATGATGCCGGGGTCCTGGGATCGAGCCCTGCATCGGGCTCCCTGCTCAGTCTGCTTCTCCCTCTCCCTCTCCCCATGCTCAGCCTGCTGCTCCCCCTACTTGTGCTCTCTATCCCATAAATAAATAAAATCTTAAAAAAAAAAAAAAGAAAGAAACCACAGAGTCTAAAAGGTGGTGGGATTGCCTATTTAAAGCGCTGGCAGAAAAAAAGAAAAAAAAAAACCTGTCAATGTCAACCAAGAATTTGATATCTGGCCAATCTAGGTTTCCAAATGGGAAGAGAAATTAAGACATCCCCAGATAGACAAAAGCTGGGAGAATCTGTTGCTAGTAGACCTGCCTTACAGGAAATGCTACAGTTAGTCTCGCTGGCTACAAGGAAAGGATCCTAAGCATTAAATGGAAGTCATACAAAGAAATAAAGAACAGTAGTAAAGTAACAATACAAGTAACTATAAAGCTACTTGTAACATACTTCTGGTTTGTAATGTCTCTACTTCCCCCATATGACTTAAAATGCAAATGCATAAAACAATACTTAGAAATCTACGTTAATGGAAATAATATATAGAAATGTAATTTGTCACAGGAACTACAAAAGTGGGGAGAGAGCTGTATAGGAGCAAAGCTTCTGTATACTACTGAGGCTATGTTGGTATTCATTCTAACTAGATCGTTCAAGTTTAAAATGTTCATTGTAGTCCCAGGGTAAATGCTTAGAAAATAACCTTAAAAATGAGAAAGCAATCAAAATGGTACCTGCAAAAAATCAATTATAAACAAGAGAAGGCAGTATTGGAGGAACTGAGGAACAAAAAGATATAAGATATATAGGGAACCATGATAAAAAGGCAGAAGGCCTTCCTTATCAGTACTGACTTTTTGTGGTTTTTTTTTCAGTACTGACTTTAAATGTAAATGTATTAAACTCTCCAAAGGCAGAGATGAGTAGAATGGGCTTAAAAAACAAACCATGATCGGGGCGCCTGGGTGGCTCAGTCGGTTAAGCTGCTGCCTTCAGCTCAGGTCATGATCCCTGGGTCCTGGGATCGAGCCCTACGTCCGGCTCCCTGCTCAGTGGAGAGCCTGCTTCTCCCTCTCTCTCTACCTGCCTCTCTGCCTACTTGTGCTTTCTCCCTGTGCCAAATAAATAAATAAAATCTTAAACAAACAAACCATGATCCTTCCATAGTCTGTCTACAAGACTCTCATTTTAGACACAAAGACATAAATAGGTTTAAAGTGAAAGGATGGAAAAGATATTCCATGCAAACTGTAATCAAGAGACCTGAGGTGGCTATGCTAATATTAGACAAAATAGACTTTATTCAAAACATGTTACAAGAGGCAAAGAATGACATTACATATTGATAAAAGAGTCAATTTATCAAGAATTAAATATAACGATTATAGGCATATGCACACCTTACAAGAGTCCCAAAATATATGAAGCAATATTTGACAAAATCAAAGGGAGAAATAGTTTTACAACATCAAAAATTTCACTTCTCACCTTCAGTAATGGATAGAACACCCAGACAAATCAATAAGGAAACTGAGGACTTGAACAACACTATAAGTCAACTTGACGTAAGACATATATTCCACCCCAATTTTCATGTGCACATGGACTATTCTCAGGATAGACTATATGTTAGGTCACAAGTCTGTAGCACACTTTTTATTAGTTTTTTTGTTATTAAGTTGTAGGAGTTCCTTATATATTTTGGATGTTAACCCCTTATCAGATATATGGTTCACAAATATTTTCTCTCATACCATAGGTTGCCTTTTAACTCTGTTGTTTCCCTTGCTGTGCAGAAACTTTTTAGTTTGATATAGTCCCACTTGTCTATTTTGGCTTTTGTGGCCTGTGCTTTTAGTGTAATATTTATGAAATCATTGCCGGGCGCCTGGGTGGCTCACTTGGTTAAGCGACTGCCTTCAGCTCAGGTCATGATCCCAGGGTCCTGGGATCGAGTCCCGCATCGGGCTCCCTGCTCTGTGGGGAGCCTGCTTCCCCCTCTCCCACTCCCCCTGCTTGTGTTCCCTCTCTCACTGTGTCTCTCTCTGTCAAATAAATAAATAAAATCTTTAAAAAAAAAAAAAGAAATCATTGCCAAGACCAATGTTATGAAGCTTTCTCAATATATTTTCTTCTAGGAGTTTTATTTTTAAGTCTTAAGTCCATTTTGAGTTGATTGTTGTGTAAGGTGTAAGATAAGGGTCTAATTTAATTATTTTGCATGTGGATATCCAGTTTTGCCAATACCACTTGTTGAAGAGACTATTACTTCCCCATAGTGAATTTATGGCACCCTCATCAAAAATCAGTTGACCATATATACATGGATTTATTTCCAGGCTTTCTATTCTGTTCCACTGGTCTATGTGTCTACTTTTATATCTGTACCATACCATTTTGATTACTGTAGCTTTGTAATATATTTTGAAATAAGGAAGAATTATGCCTCCAACTTTGTCCTTTTTTCTCAAGATTGACTTCGCTGTTCATTGCCTTTTGTGTTCCCATATGAATTTCAGGATTGGTTCCTTCTATTTCTATTTTTTAAAAAGCCAGTGGGATTTTGATAGGATTGCACTGCATCTGTAGATTGCTTTGGGAAATATGGACATTTGAACAATATTAAGTCTTCTGATCTATGAACATTGGGTGTCTTTCCATTTGTTTGGATTTTTAATTTCTTTCATCAGTGTTTTGTAGAAAATGGGCTAAGAACTTGAACAGACATTTCTCCGAAGAAGACATACAAACGGAACAACAGATATATGAAAAAATGCTCAAAATTACTAATCATCAGAGAAATGTAAATCAAAACCATAATGAGATAACCACGTCACACCTGTCGGGATGGCTTTTTAAAAAAAAAAAAGACAATGAGGGTTGGCAAAGATGTAAAGAAATCTGAACCCCTGTATACTGTTGGTGGGAATGCAAAATAGTGCAGTCGTTATGGAAAACAGTATGGAGGTTTCTCAAAAAATTAAAAATAGAATTACCATATGATCTAATAATCCCATTTCTGAGTATTTATCCACAATTACTGAAGTCAGGGTCTCGAAGAGGTACTAGCACTCCCATGTACATGGAAGCACTATTCACAACAGCCAAGATGTGGAAACAACCTAAATGTCCATTGACAGATGAATAAAGAAAATGTGGTATATACATGCAATGGAATATTATTCAGCATTAAAAAGAAGGATGCTCATTTCAGCAGTACATGTACAAAAACTGGCCCTTCACAGAGAGGATGAGCATGGCCCCTGCACAAGGATGGCATGCAAATTTGTGAACTGTTCCATATTTTTTAAAGAAACGCCACACAAAAAAGGAAATCCTGCAAAATGCGACAATATGGATGAACCTTGAGGACATTCTGCTAAATGAAATAAGGCGGTCACAGAAAGACAAATATATGAGGTATCTAAAATAGTCAAATTCATAGAGTCAGAGTAGAATGGTGGTTGGCTGAGGCTGGGGGACAGGGGGAAACGGGGAGTATGCTAATCAATGAGCATAAAGTTTCAGTTAAGCAAGATGAGTAAGTTCTAGAGATCCACTGTACAACATTGTACATATATTCAACAACATTGTATTGTACACTTCACAATTCACAATTTTTAAGAGGGTAGATCTCGTATTCAGCATTTTACAAAAATTAAATTTAACTTAATTTGGGGCACCTGGGTGGCTCAGTCATTAAACGTCTGCCTTCGGCTCAGGTCATGATCCCAGGGTCCTGGGATGGAGCCCCACATTTGGGCTCCCCGCTCGGCAGGAAGCCTGCTTCTCCCTCTCCCTCTGTCTGCCGCTCCCCTTACTTGTGCTCTCTCTCTCTCTGTCAAATAAATAAAATCTTTAAATAAATTTAACTTAATTTAAAAGCCCCCCCAAAAAAGTCCCAATAAATTTTAACTGACTGAAATCACACAAAATATCTTCTCTGACCACAACAGAATGGAGCTGTAAGTCAAAACCAGCAGGAAAACTGGAAAATTAACAAATATGTGGAAATTAAACAACACACTCTTAAGAAGAGTCAAAGAAGAAACCAGAAAGGAAATGAAATGTATGAAATTAAATCACAACATAATGAAACTTATGAGATGTAGCAAAGGTGGTGCTCAGAAAGAAACTTGAGAGGTGTAAATATATACATTAAAAAAGAAGAAACATCTTGGGGCGCCTGGGTGGCTCAGTCGTTAAGCGTCTGCCTTTGGCTCAGGTCATGATCCCAGGGTCCTGAGTTCGAGTCCCGCATTGGGCTCCTTGCTCAGCAGGGAGCCTGCTTCTACCTCTGCCTGCCGCTCCCCCTGCTTGTGCTCAGCCTCTCTCTCTCTCTTTCTGACAAATAAATAAATAAAATCTTAAAAAAAAAAGATTATAGAA